ATTCAGATTAAAGAAGCTGGAATCAGAGTATTTTTACTTTCTTTTCTAAAAAAATTAAGAAAAATTTACTCAAACCGATTAATCAATTATCAAAATTGTTGGCGATTAACTTAATAGTGGACAAATAATCAATGAATCTGTACTTCAATCATGTTATGAGTGTTGTCGTTGCACGGTTTGTCCACCAGAGGGCGCTCTGCAATCAGCTGACACAATCAGCTGTTCAACGTCCTGTTTGTACATGTCAAGTTTATTTTTAAACTGCGTTTAAGTACTGGGTTTCTGAAAATAAGATTTAAATATCAGAAATCCCCGATGGGTTGGGCTGAAGTGATCACCAATGTTCCCATAAAGACAACTAAAGCATTTCCTGTAAAGTCACCACGCTGTCAGAAGTGAAGAACGCTACACGCCTGGACCGGCTTCACACCTCAGAAGAGCTGGAACGTTACTCATTAATCAGCAACAGCTATTGATTGGATTTTTTTAAGCACAAATGCCGAAACGTGAACTTGGGATATTTGTCTACCAGGCTGTGATGACAGAGACACTACGTGGCCAAAAGTATGTGGACAGCTGAACCATTACAGCCACGCGTGTTAGTTCATCCTGTTATTTACAATATGATGTTTAACCAGGTTGTTCCTATCTCTGTACTAGGGGTGTGACGAGACACTTAACCCACGAGTGGAGATTCGAGATCACGAGATCGAGACACACAAAAATAAAGTTTTATAGCCTAACTACAGCAGAATATAAGGGCAGCTCTCAGATCAGTTTCTCCTGTAGATCAACTCGTTTAATATCTGCTGAGTCCTGATTCAGTCTTCCCTCCTCTTTGTGTCTTTGTTTGGGAAAATAACCTCTTTAAATGTGCACGTGGCTCCTTTTCACCTCAATGAGAACTAAATTCATTTTAACTCAGTTAGAAACTCCTGGACTTTAATAGCTCCTGTGTTTCAGCAGATTTTCTGCTCATGGTCAAAACTTTCTGCATGTTCTAGGGGTCTAACGGTACATATCTTCTTCCGGACTGTTTCGGTATAGGACTTTGCATTCGGTGCACATGTGCAGTTTCCACTTGGACGTAACACGTACGACACAAGCAGCCGCTTTAGCCCCGCCTCTCGCTAACTAGTGACTTAAGCATCTCGGCCAGTGCAGAGAAGCCAGAGCTTTAAGAGCCTCCCTTATTGTTCAGGTCTTCTGTTTGGGAACACTTCGGTTTCCTAGTGAAATACAACAACGGACAAGTCGATAAGACGAAAGCAGCGGGCCGACTTTTCTCACTAGTGATCGGGTTTGTTTCTGGCAACACGTCAAACTTGCTAACTCACGAAGGAGAACGTCACTGCAACAAGGGAGAAAAATCGAAAAACGAGCACAGTGCAAATGCACAGACTTTAGAAAAGTGTTTTTTAAATCTGAGCAGGCCTTCAAGCCGGGATTGATGATGCTCAGACGGAATAAAAGAATAAGAAGAATGCTGAAGTGTAATCCATATTATATATTTTATTAGCTAGATGTGATATTGTTTTGAAAATATTTTATTTAGTGGAGAACTTGTTAGTATTTTATTTCTTATTCTTTTTTATTTATATTATTTATTTATTTATTATGTGTAATTTGGAAGTTTGTTTAAAAAATTGTAAACTAATTTGGTTGTTTACAAAAGTTTATAATAAACCAGCAGCAATTTAATGTTTGCATTTTTTGCCCCTTACTGTACGGAAAATAAACCGAACAGTGACTTCAAAACTGAGGTACGTACCGAACCGGGATTTTTGTGTACCGTTACACCTCTAGCACATTCAGAGACTCTCCCACATATCTGTGCTCACACGTCCACCTACATGAGGCGGGTCATGTGACCTGACATCCCCACGTCCACCAGAGATATCAGATAAAAACAAAAAAAGACGGTAATGTTCAAACCATCCTGCTCTACCGTTCCACCCGTTTCCGATCAAATGAACCTGGTAAACCAAAGATAACAGGTCTGCCCAGCCTGACAACTAAATTGTAAGGCCATCGTGAACAAGGTGTCGCGATGAGGACACCAGGAGCCCTGCTTTCACCTTTCACCTGTCTGCTGCTGCTGCTGTTTAGGGTGTACATTTGTTGGGAAAATGACACGTGGAGGAGGAAAATGTTGACTGTAAATTGGTGATGTATAAAAAAATACTTTCCCTCTGGGGACATAAAGTCCAAAGTCTTACTGGCATCCAGTGTTTGGCTCAGAGCTCGAGACCAACAGCGTCCTGTCAGCCTGGGGACAATACAGAATATTCAGAAAATATTCTGTAGGACGCCTCCAGGACGAAAGGGATGTGTGTTTATTTAATACGATCACTTAGCAAACGACAAACTGAACCGACCGACTGCAACGGAGGCCGTCTTCTCGCGCTGTTACTACAGTCATCTGTCTTCTCAGTCACAACCGCTATCTGACCTCTCAATCACGCCACACATCAATCTACTCACGCAGTAAAAATCAAATCTATATTCTGATAACGCCAACGAGAATCATCTCAACTTGGCATATGGCGTGATTGTAAAGTAACCCCCCCCCCCCCCTCCCGTGCACGCTGTGACCATCAGACTCGCTGGTAGAGTTTTGCATTATAAAAACTAAAACCTGAAGCACAATCTGGCTCTGTTTGGGACTGTGAGCTGCACTTTCTCTGAGCTGCAGAAGTTAATATGTGGATTTGTGCAGAGATTTCCGCCTGATTGGCAGTGTTGGTTTCGGTTTGTACCTCTGATTAAGTGCAGAGCGCTGGTCTCATCCAGTACAGTCAGCAGAGTATAGGTCAGGAAGACTTTTAAAAAAAACATTAAGAATTCTCATTAAATAATGATGTTAGTCTCATAATATTACGATTTTCTTCAGGACACATAAGAGAACTAAACTATGTAGGAGAGATTCTAGTGCAGAAAGTTTTGAACATGAGCACAAAAGCTGCTGAAACAAAGTCCAGGAGTTTATAACTGAATTAAAATTAAATAACTTATCATCGAGGTAGAACAGTGCCCCAACAGACAACTTTTCAGTTTTGTTTGAATCAAGCAAAATAAATATTATTTATCTGATCAATTTAACATCTATAGAGGATAACAACAAAGTAAAGAAACAACATTTTGATTTTGGGACACTTTACATCAACTTCAGGACGCTTCAAATAGTTTTTCAGGACGGTTCTGGGACGGACGTGAAAAAAAGGCAACACTTTTTTGCCCCCATTCATCATGAGCTGAACTCAAAGATCTAAGACTTTCTCTATGTACACAAAAGGCCCGTTTCTCTCAAATAATGTTCACAAATCTGTCAAAATCTGTGTTAGTGAGCACTTCTCCTTTGCCGAGATAATCCATCCACCTCACAGGTGTGGCATATCAAGATGCTGACCAGACAGCATGGGGATTGCACAGGTGTGCCTTAGGCTGGCCACAATAAAAGGCCTTAGGCTGGCCACAATAAAAGGCCTTAGGCTGGCCACAATAAAAGGCCTAAGGCTGGCCACATTAAAAGGCCATAGGCTGGCCACAATAAAAGGCCTTAGGCTGGCCACAATAAAAGGCCATAGGCTGGCCACAATAAAAGGCCATAGGCTGGCCACATTAAAAGGCCTTAGGCTGGCCACATTAAAAGGCCTTAGGCTGGCCACATTAAAAGGCCACTCCAAAATGTGCAGTTCCATCGCACAGCACAATACCACGAAAGTCACAGATTTTGAGGAAGCGTGCAGTTGGCAGTGAATTGAATGTTCATTTCTCTGCCATAAGCCGTCTCCAAAGGCGTTTCAGAGAATTTGGCAGTACATCCAACCGGCCTCACAACCGCAGACCACGTGTAACCACACCAGCCCAGGACCTCCACATCCAGCATCTTCACCTCCAAGATCGTCTGAGACCAAAGAATTTCTGCACAAACTGTCAGGAACCGTCTCAGAGAAGCTCATCTGCACGCTCGTCGTCCTCATCGGGGTCTCGACCTGACTGCAACTTCACACAGCCATTGAAGAGGAGTGGACCAACACTCCACAGGCCGCAGTCAACAACCTGATCAACTCTGTGTGAAGTAGGGATGGGACGCTTGCTACTGATGTGTCGACGCTGTGTCGAGATCCCGAAGCGCAGATGTTTCTAAACACTGCTTCAAAGCGTGGTTCAAAACGTCAATGTCACGTGACCGCAGTGAAGCGAGGCTTCGGTGCATTTCAGCCCTGTTTCGACAGGCGGCGCACCTGCTGCTTCTACGCTTGATTCACAGTGTTTGGAACAAACCGCACATCAGCCTCTAACTCATTTGACAGATTTGTTCCAAGGACAAACAATCCTTTGATTTATTGGAGTGACGTGCTGTAGGAGCTATATCTGCACCTGTAGGCCAAAAAAATACTTTTGCCAGCAACAAATGTTCCATGTGACCAAATTTTTCCAAGGCTGGGGATTATGGGAATTATGGAAAAAAAAAACGACTCAGCCTCAAAACAGCTGAATATAATAATATAACTTAACTCTATAATTCTATATCTGACAGTGAAAAGGGGCAGTGGAAGTAATATAGTAACATAACAAGTTAGTCTAGTGCAGATCTCTACTTTATAGATGCTTGTAAAGTTTCTGCCACATGTAAATATAAATGTTTCCCCGCTTCAGATCTTTACTCACAGCTCTCTCTGCATCTTTCAACAAGTTATCGATTTTAAAAACATAAAAGTTTCTGCTCCTCAACATGAAAAGTGTGTGACTTCTAAACGTGTCCTCAGGCTCCTGAGAGACACTTTGCTGAAACCCCGTAGGGGCCAAACTCAACAGGTTTGTTTGGGTCCCTGTGACGTCACAAGACACGTGCACACACACACCTGCCGGCGCCAGCTAGCATGTTGTTGCGGAATAAAGGAAGTTGTGAGAAAAGTGCACCAAAGTGAGCAGTTAGCTTGGGTGTGAGTGGGTCGGCACGTGCCCAGGCGCGTGTCTGTGTGCGCGTGGTTTACCTTGCAGGGGAACGGCAGCGTGGAGGCCACCTTCTCCATGGCCAGGTTCCGGATGCTCGGGGTGAGCGGGCCTCGGCAGGTCGGACAGCAGCTCAGCTTCTGGCGGCACGGGTTGCAGACCAGGTGACCCGCCTGGCACTGCAGGATGGGCGGCAGGACGTAGTCGAAGCATACCGGACACTCGAACAGCGCCGTGAGCTCCGGGGACTGTCCGGGCAAGCCGACCGAGATGAGGGACGCAGCGGAGGAAGGGGCAGCGGAGCCGGACGCGGCCACAGAGCACACACCGGCGGCCGCTGCTGCCGCTGCTGCGGCGGCCGCTGCTGCTGCTGCTGCGGTGGTGGCGGCGGCGGCAGCGGCGCCCCCCGAACCCTTTCCTCCGCCTGCTTTCCCGGACCCGAGTCCTCCACCCCCGGCTCCGGCCCCGAGTCCTCCACCCCCGGCCCCGGACCCGAGTCCTCCACCCCCGGCTCCGGCTCCGGCTCCGGCTGAGGACGGACGGCTCATGGCAGCTGCGGTCCGTCTCCCAACGTCATCTACTGTTTACTACCGGACGTCGTTCCCGGGCCCCCGGAGACACAACATGGCGTCTGCGCCCGCTGTGATTGGACGCTGCGTCATAGATTGACAGGGCGCTCGGCCAATCAGAGAGTGGAGTCGTGTCTCTATGCAAATCAGCTGCACGGCATAAAAAAGGAATATTTCATCAAATATTCCGAATTTATCCGATTTTATATAAAGCCTGATTTGGTTTTATCTGTAAACCAACACGTAAATACAAAATAAATAAATAAACTTAAACGTTAAACTATATATATAAATGATGTATTAAACGATCCTTTTAAGAAAGTACTGAAATACTGTTGTGGTGGAAAGTAACTAAGTACAGTTATTCAAGTACTGTACTTAAATACAAATGATAGATATTAATAATCATAATACATTTATTTGCAAAGTACTTTAGATTCAAACAAATCTCAACGTGCTACAGGATAAAAAGAGGTAAGTGCTAAAAAATAAAGAGCATGAAAATAAAAGCAATTAGGCAAAGAAAAGTTCAACAAAAAGCTCTCCTAAAAATATATTTTATAGTAGAGTTTATTAATTCTGATATTTGTTATAAATTAAAGTACCCAACAGTTTATACCAGTACAGATAAAACGATTAGTCGGTTAACAGAAAATTGATTGGCAACTGATCGTTGAAGTCATTTCAGTTTTACTTTTGTTACTTTGAGCAGATTTTCCTGATTAAACGTACATACTTTTAGTTAAGTAACATTTTCAATTCAGAATTTTTACTTGTAACAGAGTACTTCTACAGTGTGGTATTAGTACTTTTACTTATGTAAAGGATCTAAATACTTAGCCCACCAGTAGCCATAAATAAATAAATCTAAATAAATAAATGCATACAATCTTAAAACACAACGAGTCATTATAGATTAAAACAACAATATTAAAATGCTGCTTATACAAATGATGAATCATTAATCAATCTTTTTCTTATAGGATCTGAAACTTCTTCTGGTACTACACTATTATTACTAATAATACAACTACATATACACTTACAAAACATATTTTACATCTCTGTTGTAATGTGTTTTCCTGCAGGACAACCTTGATGATAGATTGGGTGTAATGTTTCTCTGACGCCCCTCGGTGGACGCTCAGGTGTATCTACATCCTGCTTCCTCCGTCTCTTTCCCCAGTTTTTGCCACTTTACCTAGAAAACAACACACCAGCCTCACCTGTGCAGACATGAATAAGAGTTATATGTACATTATAAATCTTTCGATTTCTTTTCTGTCTTTATGGACTTTTATCTGTTGTATCTGGAGCTGCTGTAACAAGTGAACTTCCCCTGAGTGGGATCTTTAAAGTCTAAAGTTAAATCTTATCAGTATCATTAGATGGTTTCATGATACTCCACACTTTGCTGCTACTGATTGATTGATTGAACTTCTTTATTGATTGTAAACATAAAAGTGGAGCCTCCAGCCAGAGATTCCCCAGCTACAGATACCATCAAAAGGATAAAAACACAAGAAAGCCAGACGACTGAGGGCAAATGGGGAGGAGCATCATGAAAAGGTAGTTAGTTATTAGCAGCTTACACATCGTTTCTCTTTAAAAATAAAATTCAGTAACAATGCAATCTACAATAAAATTATTCCTTACACATTCCTATATACAATATTATTTCTGTCACAACATTACTATATAATATATAAGGAAGTTCATTCAGTTTTACTTAAAGTAAATTTGCCTGTACAAAGTATAAACAGAAATTTAAAACAACAGCATATTGACAACATTTCATGCTATTTTATTATTATTAAAGGTTTATTTCCAATATATGTAAAACAGAAACATCCGACAAAAAATGCATCAAATAAACAAATCAAAATGATTAAATAACACAAATTATCATTATTATTATTACAAATTATTAAATTATACACATAAATTACTAAGAAAAATAGTTACAGCCAAAGAAATTTTTTCTTGTCAATTTCTTTACATATTCGAAAAAGGAGTGGGAAGAAGAAATAAAACAAACTTTAATAATTTCAGCAACTCAGAAAAAAATGAAATAATAATAATAACAACAACAACAATGACACTGAAAATAAATACTACCCCCAGAAAACACTCAGTTATACTAATTATTGTGGCCACTCAGACATTTTGTCAGTGAGGATTGAAAAGTAACTAAAGAGTCGATGATCTTGCTCATCAACAGCAGCCGAACACATGAAAGTATCCGTCCCCATTCAACTCTTACACCTAACGGGGGTCACTTGTACTCCCTCTTGTGGTACAGTTAGTATAGTTATATAGTACAGTATATATAGTTATAGTATTCCCTAAAGTACTTTGGAGCTTCACTGTGAACAATCACACCCCCGTGTTACTTCACTTGAGACAGTACTGCAGTATTATGTGTGTATGTGTACTGCTTACCTTGTCCACTTTAATTGCTCTCGTATGGCTTCTGTTTTTATGAAATAATGCTTGTTTTTAACATGAAATCCAGGAAAGAACTTGTGCAGGCTACTTATTGAAGTGTTTCAGGTTGTTTAGACTCTCTGTGCTGCAGGGCTTCTCATTTCATTACTGACTCTGGTTCCTGGATTCACTATTGGACACTTTAAGATCTGGCAGACTGGCCGTCACTAAGTCCACACAGACGCTGTGTATTTTAGTGTATAAGGCCACGCTGGGTCCACCAGGTGGCTCTCTCACCAGGAAAATAAAGCTCTTACTTTGCTCCCTGGAATAATTTGCAGAACGTGCTACATCCAAACGATCTAGTCCCATTAAATGGATTTAAAGACGTGTGACTGAGAAATGAAACAGCCTCATGTGAGCTGGATTTAGTCCCTTCCTTTTATATGTGATGTTTGCTTCACTTTTTATTTCTATTTAAATTGCAAGAGATTTCAATTCAATTCAGCTTTATTGGCATGAATATAAAACAACAATATTGCCAAAGCTACAAAGAAATTGCAAAAGAACAATTCATTTCATACAATTCATTAAATAAAGTAAATAAAACAGCAAGAGTGTGTGTTTGTGTGTGTTAAATCTATACTGTATATAGCCTATATATATATTAAAAATGAAAATAAATAAGTAAAACAGTAAGCGTGTGTGTGTTGTGAATTCAATTGATCAATTTGATATACCTCTAATTAGTTATGACTTATCTGAACTTATTTCTGTCCTTGTGCTGCTGCAACACCTGAATTTCCCCTCTGAGGAGCAATAAAGGATTATCTTATCTTTTCTCTGCCCAGTTTCACTGAGGTTTACTTACTGTAAAGACTTTTATGATGCTGCCTGAATCGTCACATCAGATATTAAAAAATGAACACATGAATCGTCAACAAATTAGGTTCGTCAGTCCAGACAGTACTCATGTAATATTATTTACAGAGACCCAGTGTGAGCAAGCACTTGGCGACAGAGGGAAATAAAAACTTCCTTTAACAGGTAGAAACCTGGAGCAGAACCTGGACTCTGCTCAGAAGATAAATGTGATCTGAGATGGTTTTTCTGTTCACGCTCCTTCCTTCAGCTTCGTGCTCACTGCAGTAATAACTCTCCCGAAGAGAGTCTGAGACATTTGGCCTGCAGGCTGCATTCATTAAAGTGAGTTTCAAGGTCAGCCACAGAGTTGGAGGTCCGTCTACAATAAAGATGAGGTGCTTTATCTTTAGTAGACGGCAGTGATTGTACCACAGAATGTGAGTTTGGTGAACCTAAATTTGTATTTTAAAATGTTTTGGAACTTGATTGGAAACTGAGGCGCTCAGATTAAGATGATTAAGTCTCAGACACGTCCGGGACGAGACAAGATGCTAAATGGTTAAATCTGTGTTTGTTTGTACTTCCTGTCTCGTCGCGTGACCTTATGTAACAGTTCTGTGAGGAAAATGTAAACACACATTAATGAATGAATGAAGGCCGTACGTACAAAAATAAGAACCAGGGCCCAGTTGTCCAAAAGAAAAAAAGGATTCTGAAATCGGATCAGATCACCTGATCCAGTCCTGGTTTTGATCTGGTTCAACACTTTTTAGTAGGACTGTGATTATCCTGATCCCAACAGAAGGCCGGATTCAGGAACAAAATGTCATAAAACCTTTAAATTTTTCAAATAACACAACAAGCCTGTATAAACATTTATTTCTATTTTGCACTTGATTTGTTTAAACTTTAGAGTGATAAAGACATTACCTATAAACTATTCAGTACAATAAAGTTATAAAATAAATAATCCCCCAAACAGCTTCAATATCAAACTAAAATAATTTAATGTCAACAGTCACTTCTCACTGAACGCTACTTACAAAAGCAGGATGATGGGAGGTGAACCATTCAGAAGCAGTTTGTAACATCTGCTTCCCTTCCTGCAGGTCCAGTCAGTCCCTCAGTCTGAGATCAGCCTCCTGGAAGCTACAAGCTGCTCTCCACAGTCTATCTGTGACACACTTTGTTGTGGCTCTGGCTGTTTAAAGACATTGATAACTGAAGGAAATGTTGGTCTTGTTTTATTGTGCGTTTCCTGGCTCTTCAAATTAAAGTCCCCACACCGGCTGTTCCGCCTGTTGGTCTTTATATAAATTAACGGCCTACGTTCTGATCTGTGGTCCCGTTTAGAGCTCTGGAAATCCAGATGTGGTCATCCTGGAAAGCTTGTATCCAATCCAGTGTTGCTTTGAAAAACCGGCACAAAGGTAAGAAGGGTTACGTGATCCTGGACAGCAAAACACGGGATCTCCAAATCCAGATCGTTCGGATCCAGATTAAACTCTTTGAACAACTGGGCCCTGGTTGTAAATATGAATCAAATTTTCCTCACTATCATACATATATATATATATATTATAAGTTTTTCCTTGCCTCTGTCTCCTAGTGCTGCTCTTGGTGGGAACTGTTGGGCTTCTGTAAATAACATCACAGAGTACGGTCTAGACCTGCTCTTTATGAAAAGCGCTGTGAGATAACTGTTGTTGTGATTTGGCACTATATAAATAAAATTGAAATTGAAATTAAATTGAATTTGTACTCTTAAAAGAGAGCATTAAAGAGAGATCCTGTGTATGTCGTCATTGTAATAAGGATTTGTGTTGATCTGATATATATAAGTTAAACCTCATATATATATATATATGAGGTTTAACTTTATATTGTTATTGTGCATCGCAGGTGATGTTACGCAGTAATCCAAAAGTAATGTAACTAGTAGTGTAACTAGTTACTTTCAGCAGTGAGTAATCTGGTAAAATAAGGCAAAGTAACTAGTAATGTGTAATCCATTACCTTTTTTTGAGTAACTACGCCAACACTGTTCAGGAGGCACGAGAACGGAGCGTAAGGTGGCTGAAACGTGTTTTTGCTGTATTAGAATTATTTTGTGACTGGACCGAGACCACGTCCCCTAAAGGGTCCCTGTGTGGTAGTTTTGGCCTGCCGTCTGATATGTGTCTCCCCAAAACAAACTCTATAAAGGAGGAAAACCAACCAGAGCCCGATTCTACGTATTAAGGCGGTCCTGGTCCGGTTGTTTAGCTCACACCAGAGCTGACGGAGCATCTGGTCCCAGTGTCAGTGTGCATTGTTAACGTTTGGCTCCGTAACGGGTTTCTGTTGGCTGGTTCAGTCCAGCTTTGGCCCCGGGCCGCCTGAGAGGCTCTTACTTTTATTTCCAGGAGGAATTAAAGAATTGGCCGACAGCAGCAGCATCCCAGCTCAATTAACCTTCAGGCATCTTCAAGTTCACTCAACAAACAGAAAAAACAGAAGAAAGCCAGCCGGGGAGTCTGAGGCTGAGCATCAGTCCAGCTCTGGTTGGTTTATGAAGCACTGAACGGTTTCTTTCTGATCTGCCGCCACGGCATAAGGTCTCAGATGGTCTGGGACCAGGTCTGAACTAAACACAAAGAAGCAGATCACAGTTTTTATGCTCCACATATCTGAACAAACCTGCAGGTCTGTCCCGACTCTCAGCTCTTCTTTATTCCAATTTCACTTATTGGTATGTTCTATTTTAATTTACTCTCTTCAAATCCTATTTGTCTCTTTGTATTGCTTTGTGTTTACTTTATATCTTGTCGCAATACCTTATACATTTTATATCTAAAGACAAAAACAAAACAAACTGGATCATCTGAAGTAAAAATAAATCTTCACATCCTGTTTGTTTTCTCTTAACCACTGAAATCAACCTAAAATCGTCTATTCGTGAGTTTACAAAACTAAAACTAACCAGAAAAAAAGAAAAGAAAGAGCGTTTTGTTTGGGTTTTGACTCTTTGACTTCATCCCCACTGCGTCTGCCGGCCAATTTATTTCCTTCTAATCCGTTAATCTCCTCTTAATCTCCTTACTTCACTTTTCAAACTTCATTAGTTATTATTTATTCCTCCAACTCTTTGACTGGCAGCTGTTCACAGCGAGCGCGTCAGGACAGTGAGGAACAGTAGATGGAGGAAATCTTCCCCGTGCAGAGAAGAACGACTGATGTGTTTAAACATCTGATTTCTGCATCATGATCCAGTGAATAATGAGGATGATATTATCCTAAAGTCTGACATTTAGAGAAGGCTTGTCTTGTTCTCTCACAGTCAGATGTTTCAGATGGATATCAGTTTGGTCTCTGTGATGATGCAGCCAGTGGAATCTGATGTTTGAAGTAACACCAATTAAAGGCACCAGACAGTGGTTTCTGTTTTCCTCAGCCCAGGCAGTGATGGGCACCACAAAATCCGGTCTGTTTGATTCAGGGTGTTAAAGATGTGGTGAAATTAATGAATAAGAACATTAACATTATTATAAATTTGTAGATCTTTCTACAAAATCAGTGTCACAAATCACTCTTAAACTCATAAGATCATGACTTACTTGTTAATTATTTCCATTGTTAACAAATGTTCTGACTTGTTTTTGTTGTTGCTTGTTTTTACCTTCTGTTAATAAGAACATGGCAATAATAACCGGTATGGCAATGGAATCGTTCCATGTCACCATCCATGATCCATTGTTGATCGGTGTTCCTATATACTTCACATTTTATGTAATAAAATAATTATTTATTTCACATGACAAGCCTCTTCTAGTTTTTTGTCAGTGTGCTGTCCAATGTTCATTTGCGTCACCTGATTCCAAGAATGGAAACTTCAGTCTTTATTTGTCACATATTATGACACCTTAGATATGTACATTATATAACTATACAGTTCAGTGAATTGCTATGTCGCCATGATCTAAGAGAAATTAATGCGTTCAAATAAGAGCAACAAAGTTAGCAACAATAAATATGAAATCTCTGGTTAGACTTTCAAAATAAAAGTACTTATTAATGTTAATGTGAAACGTTGCAATTTTAAAATTGAAATTACTTGTTAGGTTTAGGAAAAGATCATGGTTTTGGGTTAAAATAACTACGTTACATACAGCAGTTAAAGGTTCAGTGTGTAATATTTCTGAAGATCTATCGACAGAAATGCAGTATAAGATCCATAGATATCCATAGTTTTCAGTCATGACTGAGATCTATTTCAGCAGCTATCAAATTATTTATTTATTTATATTTTTTACTGCTATCAAAGCACCATAAACTGGCAGCGGGCCAGATATTATTGTTGGCGGGCAGTTTTGGCGAGGGTCCATAATCACAGAGAGAATGAACGTGTTTCCCTTCTCAATGTTTGTCTAAACTTTATCTAATGTGGTTTATAATGGACTGTGGTGCAGAAACAGTGACAGTGTTTCACACTCATGTTATCTGTCAGTGGCCAAGTCACAATAACATGTGGTTTTACTGAACAATTAAGTAAATACAATTTCTTAATAAATCTACCTAAAGAAACCTAATTTCTTGACTGACCACTGACACCTTTTGTCCTGTGTCAGCCACCGTAGCTGTCCTACGCTCTTTGAAAGGTTAGGGGGCAGTGGTAGAATGGACAGATTGTTGCAATTCACAACCCTCGCCACTAGATGGCACTAAATCTCACACATTGAACCTTTAACTTACGTAAATTAAGTAACGTTACATGCGTAACCTACATAACCCACGATGTCTATGAAGATTCTCAGTCATCCAGGTCATAGTTATCCAACGAAGGTTAAAGTCCAGGGCAACTGGATACTGGAAGAACTGAAGAAGTCCTTTGGATGAGGAAACGTCTTCTAGTATCTTCAACCAAGTCCAGTTGCCCTTGACTTTAACCTTCGTTGGACTACATAACCCACGTATATTAAAAATTTTAACTGTTGACTTTTTCTTTCACACGGGAAATCTCCTGTTTGAACGTCAAGCTTCTGGCCCACCCTCCATCTCAACCACCTCGTTACTTGGACATTTCTCTAAAAGAGGTGGTATTGCGCTCATTTTCAGGTTCAAAATCATATTTAGTGGTTGTACCAGAACAGGTTTACATGGTTTAATTTAAGAAAAAACACCATATGTTTTTGTCATACTGCACATTGCTGCAGCTCCTCTTTTCAGCCTGTGTTGAAGGCTTCGTTTTAGCTATGGAGTGATACATCTTGTCTCTAAATGATCTTTGTTGGGAGTTGCACATGCTCAGTTCCTAGTTAAGGACTACTAGCCAATCAGAAGCAGAGAAGGGCGGGTCAGCGAGAAGCCGGTAAACAGCTCGGGTTCAGCCGTACGTGTTGCCGACCGGCTCGGCAACACGGACTGGAGCGAGAGTTTCAGAGCGGTGAGTTATTAATCTGTATCCATAAAGTTTTAACTGAGCTCTGTCTCTACATCACAGGAACAACTTTCTGTCCACTGACTGCCTGGAGGGTAGCTAGTGTTTGGAAGGGAGAGGAGAGCTGTGTGCTGCAGCTCGCTGTTTCTGAGGGCGTGTCGGAGTAGCCGCTTGGCGAGCGTTATATGAGGCGCGTTTAGCTTTTATCCCTGTGACGTCACAGGGATAAGCAGAGTTTTCTGTGGGAGATGGGAACTCCCTTTGGGCTTTTTCACTTTGCAAACCTGTTACAGCACAAAAAAGGTATAAACTCAATAAACAAGAAGGGAAAAGCCAAAAAGCAGAATACTACCTATTATTATATATTACCTAGCCTACGCCTACCTTTACCGATCAAAAGTGACGCAACCTTTCCCCAGTGCATTACAAAGTGATGCAATCGGGTCTTAACCATATGTCCACATGTGACGACTTGGGAGTGAGAACGAGTAGCACAGTGAGGACATGCTGCTGATTATACGTACATACTTTTACTTAAGTAATGTTTGAATGCAGGACTTCTACTTGTTGTGTTTGCACAGTGTGGTGTTGATAAAGGATCTTCTTCCACCCCCGGTCACCAGCCTGTATGTGGCACTAATGACCCCTCATACATCACATGCAGCGACCGCCGCACTACAGCAAACACACACTGCCCCGCATCACCAGCTGCTCTCTCTCTCTCTCTCTCTCTCTCTCTCAGTGTGTTTCATCCTCTCCTCTCAGCGGTCAGATGCTGGCTGATCTGTCATCACAGTAGTGTAATCGATCGTTATTTACCGGATCAATAACAGTTATCAGAGCGGGATGAAGCTTCTCTGCAGTGGATCGATCGGGTTTCTCCTGCTTCTCTTCTTTCTTCCAGGTGAGAAAATTTTCAGCTTCACTTCTGCCACTTTAAAGGTAAATATAATATATTAATTAACACTCAGCCTTGGAACTCATGAACGAGAGTTAAGGTTTTATTCATTTACACTTTGTTATTTATTATTTCATTTTAGAAACAAGGTCATATACAGATGTTGTCACAGCCGCTTGTATTTTTATTTATTGGCAACTTTTCTGCAAATACAACAGGCTGATTTTCATCTGGAGTCTCTGAAGAGATGTTACAAAGCTCAGGTTTAAACTGGAAATGCTGTCGGTGATGCTGCAGACTGAACTGTAGGGGACATTTCACCTGCATCACGTCCAAGAAACACTAATTGTTCCAGCTTTAAAGCTTCAGTAATTACCCTCAGAGTCGTTTTGTGTTTTACACTAACATGCATTTCAACAGGGCTGCAAATAACAATAATTTTCAGAATCAGAACCAGAAATCCTTACTTAATATGTACAGTATGTGACAGAAAGTATAAGGAATAAATACTTATAATAATAATAGTGAGTGCTGATAATGCTGAGAGCTGGAATGGATTAAAATCCAGAGTTTGATGGTCACAAGCAGGAATGCGCATTTTGGACGGATGAGCGTTCAACACCAGCTACAGAGAGTCCAGTTCCAGCCTCACAACGTCAGGGGCCTTGTGGATCAGTTTGTTGAGTCTGTTAGCGTCCAGCAAATTGATTCAGCTGTCAGTTATTATCTTTTGATTAACTGATTAATCGTTTGGTTTAAAGAATGTCCAAATATAGTGGAACATGCACGTCACACTTAAGTCAGTCTTCAAATCTCTTGTTTTGTCTGACCAACAGTCCACAGCTTGAAAAATTACATTATGAAAAGCAGCTCAAGGCCGTAATCAAAATATATATTGGGTGGTACGCATCAACAGTTAAACATGATCAAAATGTCCCTCCTCAATATGTTGATAGGATATATAATACATATGTTGCTATTCTATGACAGGCAGATTTGGTCCTAATCAATTAATCGACTAATGATTTCAGCTTCAAAACTCCAAATGTAAATCTCAGTTTTTTGCACAAACCAAACCAAACTTTCACCGCACAGGCGTCACATCAGAATGTTTTTTACCACTGGTAGCAGCTTCAATAAATACAACAAAACATGCTTCTAACATAAGCACGCCTGCCCCAGCTTTAAGACGGATGACAGAGACGTGGTGGACGTGGTGTGAAGTGGCTGGTGGAGGGTTTTTAAACACCAATGAGCTTGTTCAGTGACTTAATAATTAAAGGGCCGGTACGACCACTCGTCTGATTTCTTTGTAACAGGAACCAAAACTCCCCCATCACCCCTTACACCTGGGTCCATATATTATAAATAAAGTCAGAAACTAAAGATACACAGCAAGTGTTCACGTCTCTTTAACGTCTTTCCCAGCTGAATGTGATGCCGCAGCTTGAATCTGCAGTAACAATCTGAAATTAAAGCAGATCAAATTTTGCACTCTTAATATTTTTAGTGATACTAGAGGCGTCGCTCTGTCGGTCCACCACTGTCGTCCAGGCTGAATGACCCTGCTTAGCATCAGCACGTTAGCCTTGTCATTTTGAGCGGATAAGACGCATGCCTTTGGAGTGGGAGATCGGGGTTCGATTCCCACTGCGACACGTCCACCAATGTGTCCCTGAGCAAGACACTTAACCCCTAGTTGCTCCAGAGGCGTGCGACCTCTGACAAATATAGCAATTATAAAATGCAGATGCAATTGTAAAGCACTGCTGTACTTCTGTCCACCCTCACAACTGCTAGCATGGCTGCAGACCCTGAGGCCCCATCCACACCACTCCATTTTGGTTTAAAAACAAGTTTTAAAACAAATACGATCTCCATGTATATTAAAACGACTGAAAACGCACATCTAGTGGCCGTTCAGTTACGCTGGATGCGAGCGTGCCGGTATAAACATGAAGCATGAAGAAAATTTGGCGAAAGAATAAAGTACTGCAGATGAAGAACCGCACCGGATTTTATTTTGCATGGACCAATAACGAGCTGGGACTTTTACTGAATATAACACGGGAGTTAAAAGTGGCTGTGGCGGCGGGAAACAGACTGGGAGATGCCGCAAAGTAAACGCCGACATGCACAGTACAAGTGTAGGCTGTAAGTGTTATTTGGATGGGACAAAATATTTTAACAAAAATAGCAACTCAAAAACTCTGTCAGCAGCATCGTGTTTCTGCTTTGCATGACTTATAAGAGCCAATCAGAGAGCCGAGCATGAGCGTCTGCGTCATCGATTCCAAAGTTATCTGTTTTTGCCCGTCTTCACTAAAACACTCTCCATAGTTTTGAAACGAAAAACAGGGTCTGCAGCCGTTTTAGTCTGGACGGGAGGAGCAAATGTAGAAAAAGGTCTCGGTCTTAAAACCAAAACGCAGCAGTGTGGATGGGGCCTCACAGTTATGCTAGAACTGGTTTGTTTTGACCGTCTTAATGGTCATCTTCCTGCAACATCTCGCCTCTCACGAGATTTCAGAGCATAAGGTGTCCTTGAGCGAGACTTCAGCTTCCTGTTAAAAACAAAGGGGGGTCACCTGGAGTCCCACGTAGGGATCCTTTCCATGATGTTGTGACACCTGGTGTAACTGGTGCACATATTTGTTGTTAATTGTTAATCTTTGTTGTTATTTTTCTATTGTCAATTTATATATTTATGTACACAATATTCTCTTCCGTTGCAACACGTCTGCACAACACAAACCCAGAATAATGCACATATTGTTCTTTCTCTGCAAATAGTTATTATTTTTCTTTTAATATTCTTATATAACTTGCATCTGTTTATTTTATATTTATATATTTCTACATTTATTTATGTCAACTGTATGTTTGTCTACGTGTAGCACCTCATCACCAAAGCAAATTCCTCGTATGTGTAAAACACTACTTGGCAATAAAGTTCCTTCTGACTCTGATTCTGAACAGTGTGAGCCTGTCGCTTGCAACAAGAAGCTCTTTCTGTGGACGCCATTTTGATGGGCGCAAACACCCCGAAGAAATACGTTGCAGCTGCTGCAGCTGGTTCAGCTGCCGGCTGAAGAATCTCCTGCATGGATTCAAAACTTTCTATACCTAAGAGTCATTTAAACACCAACATGTGTGGAAATGGTGGTTTAAAACACAGAAATGATCTTTTAACATTGCTAGATATTACCCAGCTTTTACATGGACTCGTGAAGACATTCATGTGGTGAACTGCCATGGGTTCAGGTTCGGGACATTTTTGCATGTTGTAGGTGTTTTTGTCTCTGTGTGTTTGAGTTATTCTTTATTGGACTTTAAAGCTAAGAATTTGCAACGGGACTTGCTGAATTTGTTTAGAACTGAGAGTGCAGGTAGATGTGATATAATCAAGGTGTTTGCAGAATTCTAAGTCAGGGAGATTCGGAGTTAACGTATCAGTTGGTTCTAACTTTTTAAAGTTGGTTGTCAGCTCTTGGACAACAGAAATACAGTAGCCTAATATTATGGAAAGGGTCTTCTCAAAGATAAAATGCATACTTCCCCATGCCACACATTTTGTAATGACATGCTGTACAGTAACACAGCTAAATGTGAATATCCTTAATGCAAAGTAAAAAAACAATGTTATTGGTGTGATATATTTTTTGAATAGGGTAACATGGGGTAAGACGCCCCCCCACGGTAATTCTAACAAAAAACACAAAATGTGGCTGGCTGCCGCTCGTCTCACTGAACAAAAATTTTCTTTTTTTTAATTGTGTTCAATTTAGATATATCTGTATATTTACATTAAGGGGAGCCTTAACATAAGTTATGCAATTGTTTAGAGAGAAAGATTTTTATAGTTTTTGGTTGAAGTAGTAAAATGCTAGATTAGTATGTTTGGGGTAAGACACCTCCCGGTCGCTGTGTCCCTTTATGGTTGATCTATGTAAGTTAGATGTTATTTAGACTCTGGATAGACCCGTCAGCCAACCAGCAGCTTCACTATGAGAAAGTAAAATTCTGAGGTTAGAAGCTCACATATGCTCACATTTCCAGCTAACTAGCTAGCTGGCATGCGCATATTTTACCTCAGACTTTCTGCTAATGAAGTTCCAGCAACCTGACTATTTAAAAGTCTGACAAATAAATGATAGGAAAGCTGATAACATAAGGAAAGGCAAGTTTAGTTTTACAGCATAGGTCTATAATCTTCTTGCTTTTAACCAGCTTACTTGTAGTTTACTTTATCTGCAATTTGGACATATTAAAGTGATTTCACATTTCAATATTATTTTACCCCACTCTACCCTACAATTTAAAAAATTACTCTAGATATGCTACTAGATATGTGCATTAAATTTTAAATTGAAACTCTGGATTTTTCTGAGGCACCAGTTCTTGATAAATGTTTATCAGGTCATGCAGCCAATTAATTAATGATTTATAGGTAACACACTAATTTATTCTCCCAACTCAAACAAATGTTTTAATGTTGAAAACATTAAAGTTAAATTAAAGAAAGACTTTGTACCTATTCAGCTACTCCACTACGGAGGTCCCCTCTTTGATAGGTAGTCACCAGTAAAGGTTGCAAGTCCCCTCCTGGCAAAAAACAAAAAAATTATTTATATTTTTGAAACATTTCTCTTCTATATTTGTTTTTTTTAATGAGCAGAATCAGTGGTCCACATTAAGTTGGTGTAAAATGATAGTCCACTGTTGGTGATGTAGGAGTGTGTGCATGTGTGTGGCTGATGTTGGGAGGGGGAGGCAGACTAAGCTGACAGATTCATCCAAAGCGACTTACAATTGCCATATTTGTCAGAGGTCGCCTCTGGAGCAACTAGGGGTTAAGTGTTTTGCTCAGTGACACAGTGGTGGATGTGTCACAGTGTGGGATTAAACCCGGGTCTCTCACACCATAGGGGGTAAACTCATCCACTGCTCCATCACCACCCCAAAAACCACCTCCTTGTTTATCTACTAGGCCTAAACTCAACAAT